AGGCCAGCCTTCTTTAAAAACTGATTTGCACTTTTCTCTTAGTCACTTCACTTGCTATTTCAGAAATCATGGGCTTTCTGCAGCCTCAGAATGGCACTCATATCACAGGCACCACAAACAAGTTTTAAGCACTTTCTTCATATCCCCTAGAACAAGCAAAAAAACCCTCGACATCCCCGGTGAAGGCAAATGGCAGCTCTATAGCAGTATGAACTTGTATCCGAATACTGATCTTAACAATTACCATTACCTGCTTTTCGCTGCTTCAGTTATGTCAAAGGCATATATATATCTACCTCATAACGTCTCACCACGTCCTACTGTTGAAGGCCATCTTAAACAAACTGTAGAATTTCAATCTCAGACAAGGCAGGCAGTAAGATTTGGGACTTCTGAATGAAGGAGGCAAATACAGAACTACTGCTTTCTGTTGTTAGCTGGAAAACAACAATAGTCAGGCAGGTTAATGCTTCAAAAAGCACTGTTTTAAAAACTAATTTTAGTGTTGAGCATAATCTAGATCCCATAGCTTCTTGTTTCCACTCACCTCTGTGAAAGGTGTGGGGCAAGTAGGATTGGTCTAAAGCAAACATCAAGTCTACCCATGCCATCAGACATATATTCTTCATTGTTTCTAATGCTGACAAGTAGCTCATTAACTTCAAGGACTTCAGCACAGGTCAGGATAATTTTAGCACTGACACTACAGGCAAAGTGCAGGTCAGCACTGAGAGGTTTTGCTTCTTAGTGGTGGAGTTTTTTTTTCTTTTTTTTTCTTTTTTCATTTGATGTTACCATTTTTGGTTCAAGTGAAACAGACTGTCATTTCAAGCTTCTCATTAAGATTTGTACTGATGGTCAGTTTTGTTTAGATCGTGCTCAAAACCTTTTAAAAAATATAATTAATTCTTTCTCCTTCAATAATTCACTTTCTGTCTCAAGCATTGTAGTTCCATACCAGACACACATGTTGAAGTGGTGACAAAAAAAAAAAAAAAAAATTCAGCACCAAATTCTGAACAAGCTTTCAGATGGCAAAATTAACAATCTGACATTTTTAAGGAATACCATAATTAATTAACTTTTTCAAAATCAAACCCTATTAAAGTTTTTTAGCTGGATACAATTTGTAAAGAAGTTGCTTAAGAGATGTTTATCTGAAAAAAAACCCAAACAATTTATGTGCTTATCAGCGCTGATATGTGACTGTAAAAACAACATTCTATATAAGACACTGAGACACTCCAGTGTTCTGAGATCAGTTAGACCTTGATTTTAATTTCTTTAGCAGCGAGGGACTCCTTGTTGTATCAAAATTCACTTGCTTTCACAGTCTTACTGTCAAGGAGTGTTTTTTAACAAGACAGTTTCCAGAAATAATACTGGGATTCTGCAACAAATTCATCTGAGACATGAGTGTTTTCTGAAATCCCCTAAAATACAGCTTACAGCCAAAGTAAACAGTTGTGTGAGAGGAACATGCAGGAGCAATATGCTGTCTCAGCACTAGAGACAAAGCTTTAGAGAATAAGTTATTATTTTTAAATTATATTTTCTACCTTCACTGGCAAATAGCACATGTCCAGGGAGGTAATAAAGACTGGACAAGCACACAAGAATTCTCTGCCAGGACTCCTTGTAGTGTCCAGAGGTTCATGGTTCAAAAGGTTTTCCTAAGCCAGGAATGCTGCCTTTATATTTATCAGCCTTTAACGGATTACATCTTTCAAGTGCTGGTTCAGCCACTTTCATGTCAAGTCATGTAAACTTTAACATTAATGGGATTTTTTTTGTTTATTCGTTTCTTTGGGTGTTTTTTTTTCTTTTGGGACTGTTAAAGAGGAGCACCGCAGCTCACCTTCACGCCTGTGGAAACCACCTCATTTGGTATGCTCTGAGCCACCACATGCAGATTCCATTTAATAACCTCTAGTTCTGGTATCAGGAGAGACAGTGAACAATGACTCCCTATTCATCCTCTCCCTCTGCCACTTGTGATTTTATGGACTTTTATCATTCCCTCTCAGCCATCTGCCTTTCAGTCTATTTAGTTATTCTCAGAGAGGTGTTGCATGCTATTCATCACTCCTGCCACCCACCTCTAAAATCTCTCCCAGTTTTACTACGTCGGGTTTGAGATGGAAGAAACCAGAACTACACACAGTGTTCAAGATGCACATACACCACAGATTTATAAATAGGTATTATAGAATGAATTTACAATGCTTTATTTACTTCTCTATTTGCAGTCTAGTAATTCCCAACATTTTAATTAAAATTTTAACCTCTATTAAGCTGATGCTTTTAAAGATCATTGAAACCCTTAAGATCTTACTTCCCAGTAATAACCATATACTGGCGGTCCCCAGTTGGTATATAAAATGACTGTTTCCTCCCATATCTGTTACTTCACATGTCCCACAGTGAATTACATCTACCATTTTATCATCCAGCCACTATGTGAGGTACGGACCTTCCATAATTCTTCAGTCATCTTTACTACTCTGAACAGTAATCTGCAAATTTAGGTGTATTTCTATGCAGCCCTTTTTCCAAAAAGGGTTATGAGTATACTGTGAAGCACAGGCCTAGGCACAGAGTCTTGCAGACTTTATTGGTAATTCCTCTTTGCTGTGAAATATGATGATTTATTCCTGTTTCCTATTTCCTATCTTTTAATCAGTTATTTAAGCATCTTTAAACCCTTCCTCTTATCCTACAGCAGCTTACTTTCCCTAACAGCCTGGGATGAAACCCTGTCAAAAGCCTTCCCTTGCTGAAGGTCATTTCCATATTGCTGCCAGTGCTGCACACATAGCTCAGATCCTGCTTTACAGACAGCTGAAAATGATTAAAACTTGACCCTTCCTGCTCTCATGATTCTACCCTAATTCATTTCATTCAAATTTGACCTGCTATTCCCTCCCTTCCCAGCATTCATCCTCTCTTCTTCCCTATTGAGTGATAAAAGCATCTAAAAAAGCTAAAACAAAAGGTAATATTTCTTGATATTATTTGTTTACAGAGCTTTCCAGCTTGTATAAGCTTACAATAGTAAAGGAAATACAGCTATATAAAAATTAGTCTGAAATCTGTCCCACATTTATTACATGTTAAAAATCAAATCCCACATACTGTTACATAATTTCCTGTCACCCTCACAGTGCAAGCCATATACATTAACAGACAGTAAATTTCATTAGATCTTTATTGCTATTGCAAAGAAAGTTTTAAAGAGTTCTGCTGCATGCTAAAGATCTACTGCGTGGTTTGTGTTTGGGGGTTTTTTTTGGGTGGTGGTGGCATCTAAGGACTGAAAGCTTCATGTATCAAGCTGCAGCCCAACCATGAATTTTGATATTCAGACAACTGAAGCACCACTAATTTGGAAATGTAATTTTTTTTTTACAGTATAGAGGTGAATGGCTTGTACCTAATCACAGATTGAGACAATCTGAAATAGCAGAAGTTTAACATCTTAATGCAAAAAACCAGACCATCAGAATTTCCAACAAAGCATTCATTCTGGAGCAGACACGCAGCATTATGACACAAATACAAACAATAGTACAGATTATTTAACTGGATTACTTTACTCCTATGAATTCTTCCAAACAAGCTCTTTACGAAAGCCAGAAATAAAATTCAACTTTCATCTTTTCTGGATGTTTTGGCCTGTAGCAGTCAGTCATGCTCTCGAAGCGTGTTCACAGAAGCAGCTGTGTATACACAGCATATCACACTTGGACGTGTTTTGATCCAAGAGTGGGTAAGGACAATCAGAGGTGAGCAGCAGGCTGTCCCTCAACACTAACACCAACAGTTGCCATAGCAACAGGAAGAATCATGAGTAGAGGCTGGTATTGATCTTTCCACCCCATGTTCATTGCCATTTCTTCAGAGTGGTCTTTACACAATGCCAGCATACCAACACCATCACACATACCCAGGTTCTGAAGTTAACGGGAAATAACAGTGATGAAAAGGCAAGAGGGGGTAATTATTGCTGAGGCCAGTCCAGTACACAAAGAACAGGCAGCAGAATTTGCATCTCAGTGCAAGCTGTGTGCGGGGAAGGGGGGATACCAGCACACGTTTCACCAAGCCTTCCATCTACATCTCAGGTTCCCCTTGCACTGTCCTACAGGGCAGCGTCTGCCTGTTCTCAGCATCTGTAACCTACAGTCACCAATGCCCAGGTCAGGTACTGCCAAGAGCAGGATATAACAAAGGATATTCTGTGCTTAGTTGAAAGCTACATCACATCAGCATACTGCAGAATGGCACAGAGCCAAAAGGATAAGAAAGAGAGGCTATTTACAAATATTAAAGAAATTTTTCAGGTTAACAATGGCACAGCTCCAGAGTCCCTCAAAATATACGACAGCCCAACTAAGATCTACAAACATGGGATAATACATTACATGAGCATACAAGAGATTTCAGTAAAGGCTAATATTGTTTCCAATAACAAGACATAGCTCAAAATTGCATTTAGTTTGCAAATTACAGGATGGTACTTTGTTGATACTACTGTAAGGCTTAAATAAATATATTTTGACAGTTTCATCTTCACGATTAACATTTCTTCTTAGGATATCCAAAGTGGGAGAAAACGTGTTTAAGATATTAGACTCAATTGAGAAAGCCTTTTAAGATTATCCCAACTGTATTTACACTGAAAAATGACCAGAATAGTTAGCAGAATGTGGCCCTACCCAAGAGTTGAAGGCTGCTTATATCAGAGAGAAGATATTCTTGTAAACGAGTAAATCACTTCTACATGCACTCTACATTGTCCTAGTTTTGTATCAGCATAAAACCACCTCTGTAATCCACTATATTTGCATAAAGTTGAAGTAATAGAGCAACACTATGGAAAATACCCAATATGTCCAGAAACTTTATAATTCACAAAGTGAATAGCCCCTCAAAAAAAAAAAAAAAAAAAAAATTTCATCTAACTAGCGCAGATTTCAGAAAATGCAACACAGTTTTCCAAGGCAAATACAAAAGACAAATTAAGTGTCTATATTAGTGAATACATTCTTAATAAAATTTTAACATTTATACTCAATAAAAATGGATCCTGAAAAAAAACCCTAAACACTTATCAATTTTGTACATCAAGATAACTTCATCATAATCTAAGCAAATTACAACAATATGTGGTATTTAAGAGCTCTGGGAACCCTGTTAATTACAAGTCTCCCATCATAACTTAAAGAGGCAAATAGCCACGGGTCTGCTGAGGACCATTCAACTGCATACACGCTATCTTCATGTTCTTCATAGGTTGCTATTACACTGTCCTGAAGGGGTTCTTTAATCCTAGAATTGAAAAAAAAAGGAAAAAAAGAAAAAAAGAAAATAGTAAGGACTTGTGAACGCACTTGATTTAAAAGGCAATATTAAGTGTCACTAAAATCTAGACACGTAACCTCCCATTTAAAGTACAAAAATGAAGTAGTAGAGTCTAAGGAAATACTCTACACCAGATGTCTGCACCTACCTATATTTTAGATAGCAGAGAATTTGATGTTAAAGACCACATATACAGGGACAAAGTATCTCATTCTCAACTTCAGTGTATTTCCAAGCCTCTCAGACTTACACTAAACTTCTCTTTGTCTCCCAGGCAAGCTAAACTACAACGGGTGATCTAAATGTACTTAAACACACATTTTTATCAACATATTTTCTCTCACCATGTTCTATCCCTTCCTTCCCCTCTGTTATTAATTGAATTCTCCAGATAATATATAACCTTATTAGAGATGTGTAGATAGGTAAGAAGTTGCAGTAGTTAACACTACAGTCTCTCCTGTGCTGCCATCCTGGACCCATTCTCTCCAGAGTAATGGAAGAGAGACGGAGGCACTAGTCTTAATGTTTTATTTTTTATCTCCCATTCCTAGAGTTTACAACACCAGTGGAGTCTCCTCTGTTATTGTATACCTCACCTCTCACTACAACACCCAACAAGCTCCTGGTCACCTACATCACGAGAGACAGACAGATTCTCTTTTGCATCGCAAATATTCAAGAACAGATTCAGGCAATTCTCTGAAATCCAAACCACTCAACAGACATTGATTCTGCTCTGCCAGTTGAGGACATCCCTCCTTCCCTCCACTCACAGAGTCAGTCCCTCCTCTTAGAGCAACGCCACAGTGCCTTATTCTGTAGCTACAGCACAGCTGAGTTTTCAGAGGATGACCTTGGAGCTCCCTCACCCACAGAGGATCACCTCTGTCTGACAGGAATCAGTCAGCCTTTCCAAAGCATCCCCCTGCCTCCCAGAAACTGCCTTGTCTTACAGCTGAAATCCTCCCAACAGAAAGCAAAGCCACAGAGCCTTGTGAATACTGCTCAATCATTTAAACAGTTCCTGCAACTATGGAAGTGAAGTGTTGTTATTGGCCATCTTTGCCCTTTATTGCTGCCCTCTGAAAACATGTGTCTCTGCTCACAAGGTGTATATGGCATCTCCCTTGAATCACTTGCAAGGTATCTCTGCTCCAGCCAGCCAGCCTAACCAGCTGTGAACCTGACACCGTAATTACAACGCAGTCGAATTCAATGAATAAACCAAAAGCAGTCTGACACTGCAGAAAAGCTTCAGATACTGAGTTTCAAGGACTTTTGTAATTTACTTATGCTACCTTTAAGGTCAACCAACAAAAAGGGTCATAGCACAAACATCACCCAGCCCCTGCTTAATGGCACAGAGCAGGTTTGTTTTGCAGTTCTCCTGAATATGTACTTTGATGCAAGCCATCTAACAGCAGAGAGCTACCAAACACACACATGGAGACACTTCATCTCCCGCAATGTGTTTTTCCAACCTCCTGTTAACTGACATGCCTGGTTAAATGAAAGTTGGTCATGTCCCCAGACAGCAATGTGCTTCACGCCGTGCTCACCCACTTACCCACAACTCCATTATTCCGAAGGTTTCAGATGTCTCTGCGGATAAGCAGGAGAGTAATGCACAGTGCACATGGCTGTCAGGGGACACGGCCGACTTTCAGTTAACCAGGAGCTTCAGTTAACCAAAGGTTGGATAAACAAGGACAGATAAGCTTCTAGATTATACTATTTTCTGTGCGCTCGGAGTTGTTTCAGTGTCTCATTTAAATAACACAGTTCATCTAATTTAATTTACAGAAGTCATAGGGGAACGAGTGTTCAGGAAAGAACCCTGCAGACGAACTTCTGCTTGGCATTTTCATTTAAAGATACAATTTTTAACTGTCTTTTGCTCTTGTCTATACACTGAATTTCTTCTTGGGTATGAAAGTAATTTTGTGACTTCCCAGAAAAAGAAAGTATGTCATTACATGTTACATGACTTTAGTTTTCAGGGGGTTTGTTTGTTTCTTTGTTTTAAATAGTGTAGATCTCTAATAATATTATGCATAGACTACTTGTGCATAAGAATGGCATAGCCTCGAGACAGTTATTGAGAAGCTGAGAAAATCCTTATGGAAGTGATCACTTGGTGTATAAGAGCTAGATACTATGTAAGATAATTGTGGTAGAAACAAACTTGGAATGATATGTGTGTCAGGAGCAATAAACCAAAAGAAGCTGTCCGTTAGCATCCTTTACAAACAATATAAATGAAAACAGACTAGTTTTTAAATTATGTGATGGGTAAAGAGCTTATTTCATGAATGTGAAAGACTATTCAAAATAACTAAAGAAGGAGGAGCACAGTTGTTTGTGGTGTTTGGGTTTGGTGGGTTTTTTTGTTTGTTTGTTTTTGTTTTGGTTCCCCCTCCCCAAAACAGGAATCTCTTGGAGACAAATCACCTTACACCCTGCTAAGAGACTTCCAAGAAAACACCTCCAATTTGTCTGAATTTTGGCTATGTGTGTGTTTTGTTTGGTAATCCAAGAACTGGCTGAGCATACTATTTTTCAATCTGTGTGAATCTAGGACACTTAAAATTGTTCAGAGTCCCACAACAAACTCTTTCCTCTCAATGAAATTTTACACAGCTTTTACATAAAAATCAGCTCAAACTCTCCTAACTCCCCAGATATTAAATATAATTTGGTTAATGCAAGAAGTTAAAACTTAACAGCTGTGACACTGACATTTAAGCAGGGCAACAAATAACTTTTTTTATATCTACCTATACATAAAGATACTACGAAAAAAGATGATTGTGGTCACAGCAGAAACTAGTGGAACACCTACAAAACAGCTTGTATTTATCTTAACATATTTTTGTCTGTTTCAATATTTTAATTATCTTTAATACTCTATTCATGTTGCAGCAACAATTAAAAGAATACTGCTATACTTTCATGTGCATTATTCTTATCTCAGAAGTTTTCCATTTCATAGTTACTAACTCCTGGTGACTACACTCAGGTGATTTACCTTCTTAGGTTAGATGCATAACACAGGACACAGAAGGAAAGTAGACTGGGTACTGGGATAGTCAGCAGATCTTTGGCAGGTTTTGGACAAGGGAGGAGAATTTAGGACTTTCAATTTTTTTCCCAGTTTGAGAAGTTCAGAAACAGGAAGAGTACACAGGTGGATATGAAGTTAACTTTTTTCTATGATACCATAATACGTATAATCCAGGTTGTTGCCAAAACAGAGATTTATGGTTTTACATAAAAGCTGCATGCTATGGGTGTAAAAATGTAGTTGCTCTGCTATAGCCAGTATAGTGTACCACAAAGGTAGGCACTTGGCCTATCAATACCTTGATAGAGTGGCTAGACTGTATTTGACAAGCATACTTGGGAATCACTTGTCATGCCTGGCAAGCTTTGTAAACTATTTTCTTCCTAGTCTTAAGTCTCCCTGCCCCTTAAAAAGTTCCTTTAGTTTCTCATTTGCCTGTACTGTTTTAAAGACTTCCTGGCCAGACTAAAACACCTTTCCCTCTCCTTATATATGTTCTTGTATTGCACCAACAGACAAAGCGACAAACTCATGTCATCAAGAACTCATAGTAAGAAATTGGTAATCTTTACCTACATCCTGCATAAATTTAAGACCTGTGCCACAGAATTGAAAGTGGACAGCTTTCTCTTTGTAGTCTTATTCACATAGCCTGACCCTTACCAGCTTCTCCTATGAAAGGAGAAGTGCTTTCATTTTACTGGATAACTTTGAGGTTAATTGTGTTACAGCCTTGAGAGAGAAGCCTGTTAAGCCCTGGATAATTGTCTTCATGTAGAGAGCTGTTTTGTTTCAATTGCTTCTCATGCTAACGACCACTTAAGTTTGCAGTGCTTGCGATTCTGTTTTGCCACCATAATGTTCAGTAAAATATGCTTTTCAGAGTCACCAATAATCATTAATTCCTTATCACAGTCAAAATTAAAGCATCTGTAATCTAAAAATGACTATGAAATAGATGTGATTCAGTGGAGCAGTAACATGTACTGCAGCATCCAAAAATAATCCTGAAAAGAATGTCACTGGATTCCAGAACAGGCCTCATGGATGCCCTCTCTCTTTAACTGCAGAAGAAAACTTAGCAACTGTAAGGCTTTGTTTCTGGTAAGCTTAACCAACACATTACTTCCTCTTTCACTCTCTTAAGGAAAACTGAATTCTAGGATATTCATACTGGAACACAGCTTTTTATATATAATTATTGGCCATTCATACTATTGTAAGCATTATTTTTTTTTTTAAATCAAACCACACCTTTCTGAACTGCTTCTACAGGAAAATGGCATCTTTAAAAGCAGGAAATGCATGTTTTAATGCAACAGGTTTCATAGCTGTCCTAATGTACAAAATAAATTAAGAAGGGCATACTTGCTGAGAGGGTTAAAGAAAGAAAATAGTACAGAAAAGCCAGACGTTGTCAATGCAGAGTAGTCTAGGAATTGGAAAGTGCTGCTGCTCTGGATTTGGCCCAGGTTCTTATACATCTAGAGTAAAAGTCCTGAATACTGGCATTGCCAGAACAGAAACTATTTAAGCTGTTTTAATTAATTGAGTCTCCTGGTTGATTCCATAGCATAATCCTATGATTTGTAGTATTCTCTTAGACATAAATATCACAAGCAAATTATCAAAATTAACACTATTGGCAGCTGTGTGAAAATACCCTGAGAGCCTGTCTTATCATGAATGTTTGGCAAATACTTTTCAAAATATTAATGCTGAAGATTCACTCTGCTGGAATCACAGATGTCTATACAAAAGTGTTATGTTAGATCACATGGTAGGTATTATGGTGAAACCACATTATTTACTTATTCAGAAAGCTCCAAACCACATGTATATCACAAAAAGTAGACAACATCACCTCTTTTCAGATGGAATTTTGAAGGAAATCTCTTTT